ATAATGTTCTAGGGTAATTATTTAGGCTAAACATTCTTATTATATTTTGTATTTCCATTTCTTGATCAGTTTGCAAGGTTGTTCTTTTTTTAATTTTGTGATATACATCTGAAAAGTGTTCTTTTTTTATATATAAAGGTATATTAGATTTGAAGTATTTAACTTTACCGGTAGCACAGTCTTTAACATACTTTTTAAATAATAATTTACCATTTAATCTAACAATAGTAAGTTCTAAGTAATTCAGTCTATTATCTACTTCTTTTTCACATTGGAATTGAACATTTTTATTTATTAAATTAATTTCACAAACAAAAGAGTCAATATCTAGTATACTTTTGTCGTAGACGATGAAACAGTCATCTACATATCTGTGATAACTTATTATGCCTCGGGTTTTGTTGATTTCTTTATCAATTGTGATCATACACAACCCTGCCAATCTAGGACCTATGCAGGATCCCATTGGAATACCTTCCGATTGGCGGTAATATTTACCTTGAAATTCAAAAAAGTTATTATTTAACACTAATTTAACTAATTGGTTAACCCAATCTGGGCTCTTCACATAGGACAGTGAATTTAAAATTAATTCTAAGTTTATTGAGGGATACATATTGGTAACATCTAGTGATGCCATTCTATAGTTTTCCTTCATAACAATAGCTTTCATGTTTTTTAAGAATTGGTCTGTGTTTGTGATACTATACTCAGAGACGGGTAATTTATTTAACTCTTTTTTTATCACTATTTCATGGTTATATAGCACACATTTTTGAATATCTATCAAAGAACGATAAGTAACAGGATTTTTGTGTGTTTTTACTCTAAAACTTATTTTCGGAATTCTATTGCCAAAACATTTAATATTTTTAGTAGTGTTATTATCTATGTAATTAAGTTTTGAAAAATTGTTTATAAGCTTTATAACTTGTTTTTTTAAATTATACACAGGGTTATCAACAAGTAATGTATAATTTCTATTCTTAAGATATCTGATATTATATTATTATAATTATGTTTGGTCAAGACAATAGTTTGTTTTGCTTTATCAGCCTTTGTTAGTATTAGATTATTATTTTCTAAAAATTCTTTAGCTTTATTTATTCTATTTTTAAATTTTATAATTTTATTTTTCTCTTTTTTGTTTATCCTATAAATTTTTCACTAAAGATTGGATATTATTTCTAATAGATTGAACTTCTTCTTGGTGTTCATGATTAATTAAACCTGCTTCTAAATCTACTACAATTTTCCTTTTATTTAAAGGGGTGGGTCCATTAAAATCTAATCCCAATATCAAAGTGTCTTTTATATCAGGTGGAATCTCTACATCACTATGATTAAGTAATAATTTGTTTTTCCACTATTCTTTATTTGAAATTAAAGGGTATCCTAACTTATTTTCTAGTTTTTTAATTTTCTTATTTAAATATTCTTTACAATTCTCATCAGGTTTCCCTATGTCATTTAGATTGCCTCCTAATTTTTTGAATTTCCTTTTTAGTTTCTTAATTTTATATTTTTTAGACTTAATCAAGGATTTTGATATAAACTTTTCTATGATATTAACATCATGTTTTTGGATACAGTTACTGATACTATGAGGTATTTCCAACTTGTATACACCAAAATATACCGTTGAAAACTTTGCAAATACAGTAATACCCCGACTTACGCGAACCCGGAGTTATGCGATTTTCAAATCTCCTCGATTCGTCTTTTGTTTGAGCACCACGCAACTCTTGATTACTCACTCCCCCCACACTATTGTTCGGCTTACATGTTCAGACGTGTCGCGCGGAATCGACATATAGCTACAATTAATTTTGTGTTATTTATTTCTGTGTTCGTTATATCTACGGAGACTTGAGAGACTCTACTATGTCATCTAAACGAAGTAGAACTGATTCTTCTGCATCAAACAAGAAAAGAAAAACTTTATCTTTGGAATGTAAAGTTAACATTGGCTACGTTCGTAAAGTTGAACGAGTTAAACGAGAATGACTTCATCGTTATTCTTATTTCGTTAGACTTTTCGAACGATTTGTTACTAACACGTTTAATTCATTTGAATATTTAAATAAGAAAATTAAAAAACTAGAAAATAAGTTAGGATACCCTTTAATTTCAAATAAAGAATAGTGGAAAAACAAATTATTACTTAATCATAGTGATGTAGAGATTCCACCTGATATAAAAGACACTTTGATATTGGGATTAGATTTTAATGGACCCACCCCTTTAAATAAAAGGAAAATTGTAGTAGATTTAGAAGCAGGTTTAATTAATCATGAACACCAAGAAGAAGTTCAATCTATTAGAAATAATATCCAATCTTTAGTGAAAAATTTATAGGATAAACAAAAAAGAGAAAAATAAAATTATAAAATTTAAAAATAGAATAAATAAAGCTAAAGAATTTTTAGAAAATAATAATCTAATACTAACAAAGGCTGATAAAGCAAAACAAACTATTGTCTTGACCAAACATAATTATAATAATATAATATCAGATATCTTAAGAATAGAAATTATACATTACTTGCTGACAACCCTGTGAATAATTTAAAAAAAAACAAGTTGTAAAGCTTATAAACAATTTTTCAAAACTTAATTACATAGATAATAACACTACAACAAATACAAAATCAATAACCTGTCAATAAACCTGTCAATAATAACTTTAACCAATAACCTGTCAATAATAATCTAATACTAACAAAGGCTGATAAAGCAAAACAAACTATTGTCTTGACCAAACATAATTATAATAATATAATATCAGATATCTTAAGAATAGAAATTATACATTACTTGTTGATAACCCTGTGTATAATTTAAAAAAACAAGTTATAAAGCTTATAAACAATTTTTCAAAACTTAATTACATAGATAATAACACTACTAAAAATATTAAATGTTTTGGCAATAGAATTCCGAAAATAAGTTTTAGAGTAAAAACACACAAAAATCCTGTTACTTATCGTTCTTTGATAGATATTCAAAAATGTGTGCTATATAACCATGAAATAGTGATAAAAAAAGAGTTAAATAAATTACCCGTCTCTGAGTATAGTATCACAAACACAGACCAATTCTTAAAAAACATGAAAGCTATTGTTATGAAGGAAAACTATAGAATGGCATCACTAGATGTTACCAATATGTATCCCTCAATAAACTTAGAATTAATTTTAAATTCACTGTCCTATGTGAAGAGCCCAGATTGGGTTAACCAATTAGTTAAATTAGTGTTAAATAATAACTTTTTTGAATTTCAAGGTAAATATTACCGCCAATCGGAAGGTATTCCAATGGGATCCTGCATAGGTCCTAGATTGGCAGGGTTGTGTATGATCACAATTGATAAAGAAATCAACAAAACCCGAGGCATAATAAGTTATCACAGATATGTAGATGACTGTTTCATCGTCTACGACAAAAGTATACTAGATATTGACTCTTTTGTTTGTGAAATTAATTTAATAAATAAAAATGTTCAATTCCAATGTGAAAAAGAAGTAGATAATAGACTGAATTACTTAGAACTTACTATTGTTAGATTAAATGGTAAATTATTATTTAAAAAGTATGTTAAAGACTGTGCTACCGGTAAAGTTAAATACTTCAAATCTAATATACCTTTATATATAAAAAAAGAACACTTTTCAGATGTATATCACAAAATTAAAAAAAGAACAACCTTGCAAACTGATCAAGAAATGGAAATACAAAATATAATAAGAATGTTTAGCCTAAATAATTACCCTAGAACATTATTGTTTAAGTGGTTGGAAACAAGTAAAGACAAAAGAAAAAACATTACGTTAAATAGACAATCAATAGCTGTTAATACTGTGTATCTAAAAATAGAATATGTTTTTGGTGTTTTTGAAAAATTAAAAAACGAATTAAAAAGATTAGATATTATTTTAGTACCAAACCACACAAGAACCATAGCAAAATTGATTGACAGTAAACATGAAAATAATGAACATAATGATTTAGAAAAAGATAACGTAGTTTATTTATTAGATTGCAGTTGTTCACATAAAAAAAAATACATAGGGGAAACTGGAAGAAAATTAAAGACAAGGATTAAAGAACCTATATATGCCATTAAAAATAATTTGATATCATCATCAGTGGCACAACATTGCAACACTGAAGGTTGTGAAATTTTAAAAGATAGCATCAAGTGTAGTATGACAGAAAACAATCAACTAAAAAGAAGACTACAGGAACACCTAGAAATTCTGAAAATACAAGAAGACATCAGAATTAATAACAACGTGGGACTGAAGCTACATGAAGGGTGGATTGACATCATTTTCACTTAACCTTGAAACAGATGCTGAACAGATGTAGGGAGTATAGTCACATCACTTTGTAAAATGCAGTGTGACAGTGCAGTTGATTTCACAAAGGCTTATAGATCAGATGTATTTTGTTTTTGTTAAAATCTGGAGACCAATTGGTTTTAATAAGAGTAAGTTCATTATTAGCTTCCTTCCCCCTTTTTGTGTTTTTAGTATACTTAACAATATTTATTATTAATAATGTAACCGTCTACCAGAATTTGGAAAATGTGGGAGAAACTAAGACATTTACTGGTCTCAGATAATATGTTATACCACATTGTCATTGTATTCTAATTTATACTTGATATTTAGTTTTAATGTATGGGTTACATTGAGAAATTGTAAATGCAGTGCACTGCATATGTTGGTTATCCTATTGTATTGGCAGGTTATTGGTGTTGTATTTGTTATGTTGTTACCACGTGTTTGTAATCTGATGAGGGGTCCTTCATCAGCTTACTTATCAAGCCGAAATGCATACTTACCTAAATTTGAAATGTGATTATTAAAGACCAACCCTTTTTTTTATAAAAGTTCTGGTCCTTCTTTCAGTTGGCCTTGGTGTGATAAGCCCTGCAAATTGTTATACCCTATTTATTAGGATGTCTAACTCTGTCTAATTGTTTGTTCTTGTTCAAAAGTTCAAATAATTTAACAGAAATTACCAGATGCCTTTGGTGCTACTCCATTTTCTACTTTTAACAGATTAATGGGCTGATTTATGGCTGGTGATGATTTCATAGTCAGCTTCTCCAAAGACTTTCTCACATTTTCCAATTTGTTAGATTTGGCATGTTGACTGCTTATTGAAACTGAAGGAAAGACAAATAGGTTGGGAAATGCTTCATTTTCAACTTTATCCAATGCCTGATATTTTTTTCTTTGTTTTTCCCTATTTCTTTCTTTGGAACGTGGTAGTTTCAAATGTGGAAATGATCTTAATTTGGGTGGTGTCTTGGAGTAGTCTGTAATGAGTGATGACGTTTCTTTGGAATTATCTTTGGACTTAATTTTGCTTTTGTCTTTGTTATTTCCATTTTTAGTAAAATTAAGTAAGGAAAATAATGATTTTTTTGCACCATTTTTGCCTCTTTCATCTACATCTCCAGGACTGAATAATTTCTGCTTATATTTAATTTTTTTTGTTTCATTCAGAGAATTATCTAGTATTTCTGGACTAGTTTCTGAAGAATTTTGCAAAACTGGAGGAGACTTTTGCATTTCATACGTTTTAGTAACATATTCTGGTGAAAGTTTAATATCAATTTCATCAATAGAAAGGGAAGACTCTAAGTAATTAGCTGCATCTGTTCTTGATGTCGATGATGCAGTGGTTGTATTTTTATCTGATGATACTGTATCAACTGATGGACTTAAAATATCATCACATACTATTGAACTACTGTTAGTTTGTGAAGGATTGCTGCCAGTTCCTTCTTCTGATGAAGACATTGGACTAATTTTTAAGTTAGTGATTCCATTGTCCTTTGAATTAACAACAGACAAAGATTTAAGAGTATCACCTTCAGTATGGAATGATATAGTTGGTTCATGTTGAGTTTCTTCAAAATAATCATCTTCTCCATCATCATCATCACTATCAAGAATATTATCCTGTAATAATTCTTCATATTGAAAAGAATTAATTGAAGGAGGGTGCTTATGATATCGTTTTCTATAATTATATGGACTTAAACCAAGTTCTTCATCACTTTTTAATCTGGCACGTTCTCTTGCTTCCTTCCTTGCTTTCTCTAAATCTGCTGTGCATTGTTCACGAATACCTTTAGATGTATCAACTGGCGTAAAAAATTCAGGTGGTGTAGCAGATCTAATTGAAGCTATATCAGAATTCTCCTTATCATCAGCAAATGGTACCCCTTCAATATCTTCATGAATACTTTTCCTAAATCTCTTTTGAAGTGTTGATTTATTTTGGTCCTTTACTCTGGAATGTACAGCCTGTACAGATTCAGCTGTATAATTTGGTATCCTCCAATTCTGTTTATTTTTCCCACTATCTTGTTTTTGTTGGTCTGAATTAGTTACTGTAATCAAATCTTCAGAATCATTTTTTAAATTGTTAATTGGTGTGGAACTTGCAAATCTTACCATAACAGGTGTTACAGATTTATCATTTTCAATAACTAAATTATCACTAGATTTACTTTCAGATGAAAAATAATTTTCATTAGAATTTCTATTTTTCAACATTTTATCATCTTCTAAAGAAGTTTCAGATAAATTACATTTTTGATTAATATTCAGTTTTTCCAAACTTCTTGTAACAGATGGAAAGTCTAATTTTTGTAAATTAATATTTAAAGATTTTAAATATATAGAATCTCCAACAAAACTTTTAGGACGAATTTTTTCTGCAAAGCTTCCACTATACCCATGAAATTTTCCAAACTTTTCTGTAGAATTTGATAATATTTTTTCTTTATCAATTATTTTACTCTGTTCAGTTTCTTTAAAGTTTGTTGGTGCAATGTTGGGTTCAATATTTTGTAACTTTTCTTCCGTAGTTTGTACTTCATTTATTACTGTAGATGAATTATAATCTTGATTGTAATCATCATCTGCATTGCTTGTGTTATCAACACATTGTATTACATCTGCTCTATAAACACCCTGAATCTGAGATAAATTATCTGAGCCAGCTTCTTCTAAACTATTAACATACCATGGTAAAGGTAAATCACTGTTATCACTATCCCAAGAGTAAATATCTTCACTATCATTTTTTCTTTTTGTCTTATCTCTAAGAGTTATAAAAGATGGATTATAATTAAAATCAACATTTGAATTTTCTTCTGGAATTCTATTATCTGTTATAATATCTGTGACTTCTTTCATTTGTTTTTCTTCTGGACTTATTTCACTATCATCTGATGACACAAGTTTTACAAAATCAGGTGTTCCTACTTTTACAACTTGCTCACTATGTGAATATAAATCAGAACTATAACTTTCACTACTGATTGTTCTATTACTGGTACTGCTATCTGATGGAGTATTCATAATCTCAAGAGTTAAATTATTGAGATCATTTTCATTCTGTAATGGTAATGTTAATGGGGATAATAGTGGAATTTGTTCTGAATCAGATTCATTAGTTTTAATTTTTTCAGAAGGCACTTTTTTCAATTCATTTGTATCTGTAGGCTTTTCATTTTCATCTATTTTATATCTATCAGAATTTATGGTTTGAACTGGAATATTTAAAGGTAATACGAATTCTGAACTCATTTTTTCTGAAATTATATTTTTGTTTTCACTTGGTACAACTGTTTGAATATATTTGGATGTATTCAAAATATCTTTTGCCTCACTTACTATGTTTTCAACTATTTCTAATGCTATTTCTTTCAAATTTAGATCTTCTTGTGATAGTGATTTTTCTATTTCTTTAACTTCTTTTTCAAAATGATAAAGTTCTGAATCTGGAGGATTTGCAACTTCAGATGATTGTACAGATGTTTTGACTAGAGTTTCGAATGTTTCGACTAGATTATCAGACATGATTATTTTATCTTTACAAGGAGATTCTCTGTGAGAAGAACGATCTGTACTAGATGGTGATGATAGTATTTGTTCCGCATCTCCTATATTTACTATAAGAGATGCATCTTCATCAGATATTAATACAGATTCTTGATTTGTTTGATTGGATAATGTGTTTATATTATCTTTTGCTATTATATTGCTGTAATTATCATCTTTAACAGTAGTAATATTTTCCTCAATAGCTACCTCTCCCCATACTAATTCACTCTCTTCTTGAGGTGGAGATTCTTCAATGACAATTGTTGGAATCTGTTGTGGAGGTGCTGGTTTATTTAGTTCTGAATCAGAATCTGATTCAGTTTCTGTGTCAGTACCTTCTTTTGATAAATCTGTATCAGTAATGTCACTTGTATCAACTTCTGTAGAAGAATCTGTATAATTTAAAGGTATAAAAGATCATTTTTTATGTACTTTTATGTAATTTTAAAATGCAAATTAATTCATACTTTAAACAACCTATAGATAAATTTAATAAAGTGTAATTTTAGTTATTAAAATTATGAAATTTTTCTTCAAATTACTTCTATAAGATCTATATATTCTGTTTCTTTTGAAATTAAATTTCAATAAATATTAATATTGAACACACTACATACGAGACATAAGATTTATAATTATTATCATCAATAAATATACAGGTATACCTCACCTTACACCGGTAATTGGTTCCAGGAGAGGTGACTTAAGTCGAAAAACGACATAAGTCAAATTTACTTGTCACTAGGCTAAACCACAAATAACCATTTCCAGTTCTGTATTTTATTTATAAATGCATTTTTAATAATATATGGTTAATAAGAATCTATTTTAAGCTTACAAACAAATAAATTTTAGTTTTTAATATAGTACAGAAAAAAGCAATCTAAACTTACGAATACGTGTACAGTACGTACAGTACATACTTATAAATGTACTGTACATGTTTACAATTTGGCGATGTTTACAGTACATCGTGGACTCTATTTGTAAATGTGGTTTGCTCTAAGACATTATAAAACAAGATGATTTTGTAAGGTTAAATAACAAATACAGTTATTAAAATTATCTTGCGACAGTAGAAAATAAACTAATTTATATTAAATTTACCAATATCAAGTGGNAGTTCTGTATTTTATTTATAAATGCATTTTTAATAATATATGGTTAATAAGAATCTATTTTAAGCTTACAAACAAATAAATTTTAGTTTTTAATATAGTACAGAAAAAAGCAATCTAAACTTACGAATACGTGTACAGTACGTAAATACTTGTAAATATACATGTTTACAATTTGGCAATGTTTACAGTACATCGTGGACTCTTTATTTGTGAATGTGGTTTGCTCTAAGACATTATAAAACAAGATGATTTTGTAAGGTTAAATAACAAATACAGTTATTAAAATTATTTTGCAATAGTAAAAAATAAACTAATTTATGTTAAATTTACCAATATCAAGTGGCGCTGACAACAACGCCAAACAGTAGATATTGGAAATACCATGGAAAATGCCAATGTTGAGCTCTTAAAGACCGCTAAATAAGACAACAACACAGAGTCACAGATGTTTTCATATTTCATTCTCTACGATTTATGATGATTATATTAACATTTACCGTAAATATATGTATTTTAATATGATTTTATGTGCTTTTAACACTTTTCTGGTGATATTATGACTTCAATATTTGTGGTGGACAGATGTAAAGTTGAATAAAATGACTTAAGCCTGACTTTTATTTTTCCATATATTTTTTTGTTTTGACAAACAATGAATAATCGAGAACGATGTAACTTGAGGTATACCTGTATATTGTAAAAGGAAACATATCTATTAATATACAAAACCAATAAATAAATTTCAGTTTGATCATATAGATCAAAATTTGTTTAATTAAAATTAAGATTGAGCAATACATTCTACTAAATTAAAATTAATATAGTAGAATGTCCAATTCTATGATCTGCTTGGTTCCTAGAATTTCAACCAATTATAAATCAAACTGATTTCTCATAGACTCAATATCACAAATTGAAGTTTTGTTCCTAAATATATAGTTTGACAGTACATTCTCCTGAATCACCCTGTTTAGCTTACTTATGAAATTTATTTCAAAGATCATTTTGAGCAAAAAATGTCCTATAAATTTGGGCCTTTTTCTCAATAGTTATAGAGTAATTCACTGTGAATAGTATGTAAACTTGGCTAATTTGAAAGTTGAAAATAAAATGCATTTTTCTATAATAAACTGTTGTAAATAACAACATGCAAAATGAATTTGTAACAATGTTTATTTTTAATAAATATTTAAAAACTGAGTTTATAAGATATTTTCAAAATCATCTTTGTTCATCACACTTGGCTGCATTTATGAACTGCATGCACTATTCTGCTTAGCTCCAGTTGTCTATCTTTGATTTACATAGTAACATGCATAATATGCACAAGTAGCTTCTCACATGTTTATGTATTTGAAGGTCTGATGCACAGTATCCTTCAACTACTCCCACATGTAATAATCTAATATGGATAGATCTAGCACTGTTCAATGAATTATTCCATAACTATTCAGAACAAGACCCAAGTTTATAGGACATATTTTACTCAAAATGTCCTCTGTAATAAGCTCTGTAAGTGATGGTACATCCACTTGAATCACTCTATATATTATTGTGGTGAGATGGAAAGAAAAATGCTTTCCATAAGTCATAATATAAAATTTACATCAGTTGAAAAGAGGGGGTTGTAAAACAAGGATTTACTGCATTAATAAAGAAAACCATATAAGTTTTTATTGTGATATAATAAACAATTAAAATATAATATAAATACCTTCTGTTTGGCCTTTCCAATTTTTCAAATCAATAACTGGTACTTGAACAACAACTTCTTTGGATTCAATAGGTGTCTCAGCTTCCCTGTCATCATCTATAAATAAATTCAATGAAATTTTAAGAATACTTTTAAACTGGTATTTTTACTAAGAAATATTTCTTATATAAAATTCTAATTTATGAATTATCTATTCTATTTTTTGATTTTAATAAAATAAATTTTTTTTAGACAGTGAAATGACAATTTTATAATCATTTTAATATAAAATTTATAATTTTACCTTCTGCACTGTCATCAAAACTATATTCTTCATCACTATCAATATCCTCACTTGTGTCATCACTTCCAATTTCTGTTTCTGAACCTTCGGATGGTGATGAAGATGATGATGATGATGATGATTTACTTTTGTCTAAAAATCCACCTTCTTGAGAATAGCGTTGTTGCCAAGTTTCAGCTAATCGTCTAGTCTCATCAGCAGTCATGGAACGTTCTAGTTCTTCAGCAAATGCTTCCTCTTCAGATTCTGTGTCAGTACTGTTATAAACAATATTAAAAAAAAAAACATTTTTTAATCTATTTTTTTGTATAAAGTTTAAACTACAGTAGAACGTCGTTTATCCGAAACGTCGGTTATCCGAAGGAATTCCAGTCAACAAATTTAAATTTTCGCCAGTGCTGTGGCGCTGTAATCTTTGGCTATGTCTTGGGCTACTCAAATATTTTACGTTTTTGATACTAAATTAACTTCTGAAGTATAATTTTTTTATTGTTTTTATATTTTTCAATATATTTATTTTGTTTGTACAAAATAAAAAAATAATTTTTAACGATACAATAGTCTTCGTTAGGCTTAACATCGACGAAAATTCAACGCGAAGCGACACGCAACAGAGAAAAATTTCAACACGGGATAAATTAATATTTTTTTTCGTACATAATTGGTTATCCGAAAAATAAGTTATCCGAACAACCCCAGTCCCCAATTGATTCAGATAAACGATGCTCTACCGTACTTTTATTAATTTTTTTACATAGTCCTTAATTTTAAATGAAATAAAAAAATAGTAGCAATTAATATTTTACAGTATTACCTCAAATCTGAAAATTCATCATCGCTTGTTTCTAATTCATGACCAACTCCAAGATTTTTTTGTGTAAGTTCTTCTTCTTCCAATTCACTTGTTAAAAGTTCCTCTTCTGATAGTTCAATTAAACTATTTTCATATTCAACACGTTCAGGTGTTTGATCTCTTAAAGATACACTTACAACAGGTGGAGGAAGGAGAGATGGTGAAGGAGTTTCTTCTATACTTATTTCTGGTTTATGATTTTCTGTAGTATCAATTTCATCAGCATTTTCTTCTTTGGCAGGCTTTTCAGGAGATGGAACAGTTTTTGCAAGAGCATTAGCAGCAATTGTAGAAAAGATTTCTTTTGCATCAGGTCCACCTGATAAAAATGCTTGTTTTCTTTTCATCATTTCTTGCCATCTGCTATCTGGTTTTTGCATTCTAAAATGTGGTTTGCAATAAAATTTTCCTAAAAGAACAAAATATAAAATATATGAAATCTAATAATAGAAATACAAAAAAGAAAAGATAGTGAATTATAAATTACCGAGTAAAACTTCGAGAGATGCACTAATTCAAATTTTATTTAAAACTAAAATTAAACATTGTGAGAGATTCTAGTATGATTTTTTTTACTGCTACTTATCAATTAATTTATTGCGTAAAATAACATGATTCATATGAATATATAACTGTTATTACTTCATGGCAAAAGTGAAACCATAATGAATAAGTAGGTCAACTGGGCCATTGAGTTTTACAAGTTTTGATTAGTAGGTACGACTTACATCATTTATAATTATTTTATTTCTATGACATTCTACGAAATTGATTAATTTAATTNAATAAATGTTTTCCTCATATTCATAATTCAAATATGAATTTTTTTGAATTTTTAAATTGATTTTATTACATAAAATTTCACCATATGGATTCAGAAAGAATATCAATTAAAAGATCTGAAAATCAGTTATTAAATCTATTAACTCATAGATATTACGAAATATCAGAATACATTATGAAAATAAAAAGTTACAGATAAAAAAACAGTGAATTAATAATTAAACAAAATGTATTCTTCTGTTCCAACAATCAAAATGGAGTAAAAGTTCTACTTTAGATATCAGAAACAGTTTATTNTAACTTACCATTTGATATTAACCTCTTCAATTTGTAGATGAGGCACTGTAACTTGAAAGGGAAAGTGGGGTCATGAATATCTCCCTCACAAGTCAGGACTGTAGTAGCTAAGTCCTGCTCTTCTTCTTCCATATCTATACATTAAATTTTACAAAATAATAATAATTTAGTTTAATCCTTCTTTTCATTGTTATTTTCTATACATAAATTCTATTTTAATTATACAAATTAATAATTTATACCATTGCTTGAAAGTTTAGCAACACTGCCAAAAAAATGGAAATTTCCAATTTTTTTTTAAAATTGCAATAAAAATATAAGTAATTTAAATTTATAATACATATATTTATTTGCTTTATATAATCCAGTAGTATTTTGCTTCATCCTGTTCCTGCTGGCTAGATTAATGCATTAGATTACGTAAGTCTATGGAGGGTTTTTGGTAGATTGTAAACTGAATAAAAATTTGTAGTGGTTGCTTACATACAGAATCAGAGTTGATTAAAATTGTGAGCTTATGCCCTGTAAGAGAAAGGCTATTGTGTTTTACATGTTTTAGCAGTTTGTTTTTTGTTTTGATATAACTCCATTAAATTTCTCTCATAGTCTTTCAAAAATCATATTCACTCCTTAACACTTTTCTCTCAGACTAGACCCATATTTCATTTCTTTATCAACAGAAATTCATATACATAGAGGCTAAAGAGAATACAAAATATTAAATTTATGTATTTACTTTCCAAGTTGCTAAACTTTTAAATAGAGGCATAATTAAAATTTATTATTTTAAATAATTAACTAAACTAACTTAAATATAGAATTATTGCTCTTAGATGTCCAAATAGAGTTACCAAGAATACTTCATGTGGCACTCTTCCTTTCTTTCATTTTAATTTAATTTGTTCATATGATCTTTCCATTTTCATGCTATTAACATTATATCCAATTTGAAGAATTTTTAAAAAACTGTTTCATTACAAAATTATATGTAATGAAAAATAGAACTCTGTTCCATAATTTATTTTACTCATTATTTTTTTAATATATTTTTGGTCTTTTCATTATTTTATTATATTTTTTTTATTTTATATATGTGTTTTTGTATTAATTTTTATGCATGTATTATTTATGGATTGTTCTTTTTATTNGAACTTTGCTACAAATTCATTAAAAATATTTATCAAATCCTATAATTATATAAATTATTCAGTATAATGTTTTTATCAAAATATTTCTTCTATATCAGTGTTCTTCAACCTTGGGTCCATGGAACGGCATTGGTCCGTGGAAATTTCTTGCCAATCTGCGAAAAATTTCATAGACTGGCAAGAAATTTTGTAACAACAAAATAATAAGATTTTAAACTTGTAATTAATATAAACAGTTTTTATTTATTTTTTTATTATTACAATTGCTTAAATAAAGTTCATTATAAAATGAAATTTCATTAAAATGATTAGATAATACTATAATTACTATATAATAATACTAATAATTAAAAGAATTTATAAAATAATGAGCAATTATTTATTGTGACATAATCACAATATTTTGTCTACAATTTTTTCAAATTGTAGCTCAATTACATTTATGCAAGACATTTATCAAATGAGCGCCAGTCTTGTGATAATTTTCCCATTTCTTACATCCCTTCTGTTACACTTACAAGAGGGAATCCAAGAGGTTGTCACTACTAATTTTTACAAAATTTTGTGGATGTGTATTTACTTGTACTTAAACTCTACCAAAGCCGCAGGATCCAATCATGATTCAAATTTTTCTAGAACTATTAATACCTATGCAGAAGTGTTATTCATGTGTTTGTGGCATGATTAGTTAAGGCATTGCATGAAGAGTGTTATCATGTGGGTTCGAATCCCATATGAGGTGATTTTTTTTTTTTTACATTTATAATTTAATCTTATTGTTATTAAATTTGTCATGTGCAATTTTTGTGCCATTTTTAATTACTGAATTTAAAATTTACTATTCTCTATAAAATATCAGGGAATTCATAAATTCTTTTTCAACAATTTAAATTTTTTGCCGCAAAAAATATACATGCAATAAATACTTACAGTTACTGTTTCACAATAATATGACATTTTGGGTGGTATTTAACATAAAAATAGTTAAAACATAACGGTTTGGTGCATCACAACATGTGCAAATAATCATTGCTCCTTCATTCGCACAATTTTTACATTTTGTATTAACAACAGAAGGTGGAAAACAAACTCTTTGAAAATATTTCTTTTGCATGTTATTTCAGATGCAAACCATGCATATTTTAACATTTCACAAAAAACTGGTGTGCTCAACTGGTTGTGAATTAGAGTGTGTATTTTAATAACATCTTCACGATTGGCTATTTCTCAATCGGTTTTAAGGAAATAGGTACAGTTTTGTAATTTTTTGATAAAAACTTTGACCTGTCTGTAAAAATAAATGTTGCTAGGTCAACAAAGATGGATGCATTTCGGCAGGATAATTTTTTAATTGCATGATGGAATATCTTTGTCAGCTACAAAAATTTTGCCATATATTTGAGAATTTGTTTGACCACTCCAAAATCTATTATTAATAAAAACTTTTCAATTTTTACATATGGCTGTAATATTTCAATTAAGAAGTCTTTATAAAGGTTCATTGTTAACTTCCTGACCTAGAGTATTTGACAATGACATTTTCAAATTTAGAGAGAAGCATCGACTTGTTTTTATACTGTAGGATCAAATTTGCCACCAGTTTCTTGTAAACAGAGAAGCACTTTGGGTATAAGCCCAAACAAGTGAATGTGTACTGGGCAGTATACAAGTGAGAAATTTTATGCAGACATTTTTTTTTAACAAATATAGATTTTGCACCTTTCTCTGCTAAAGTCCAATCAATCATTGATTGATATTGGCAACCAGTTTGATCCATATTAATTATAAAGTCTGAATGAAAATTTGGTAAAAGTTAAGAATTTGTTTTCTAAAATTATCTGCAGCAGCCAAAACTTCATTAATTTCCCTTACTTCTTTCTTGCTGAAGTAGGAAAGAAGTAGGATGGATTAAAATTTGTAATCCATCATTGTTGAATATTATTTCTTCATTTAATTAAAATCATCAGTCCATGTTTTTTCTGCTGAATATTGAAAAGTGCTAAAGAGAGACTGTTGTGCAGCAGCTGTTGCTCATTGCTGCAGTGTTTTTGTTGCAACTTGCTCAAATTTTTCTCTAGCTTCTTTAAATCTGTCAAGTGTCCAAGAATTAAAGGCAATTATTTTGTCAAATTGGGTCTCACCAGTCAATAAATCATTTTCCCACCTAATAATAATAAAAAAGCAGTGTAAATAATAAATAATTACTGTTTTAAATCTCTTTTAGATTTTAAACAATGTGCTCTTTTTCTCTTTAATGTTTGTAGCAACCAATTTGAATGTTCTTTTGCCATGGTTACAACTTTTCATTTGTATTTTAGATTTATCATTTAAAATTTTTTTTTACATTCCTGAAACTGTATCGGTGATTATTTTTGTCATTTTGAACACCATGTAGTGCAAACACACTTGATTAAAAGTCAACTAAAAATTGAATAAATTTAAAATGAAGATTGCCTGGTGTTAGTGTGTTTACACTATATGGTGTTCAAAATGACAAAAATTAAATTTTTTTTTTTTTTTTTTGGGATTCGATCCACTTTTCTAAGAATGTTGGTAATGATTGTGTTGATGCTGATCAGGATGGCAATGACAACAATTCTTCTATTGCTGAGCAAACTAATGCAAAATCAATAAAATCATCAAAATTTTTTTCCATCTGGAAGTATTAGGTCTTCGTCCTCAATGAATTCTATCTTGTTCTTCATATTGATGATGCAATTATATACTTTGTGGCCTATAACTGTTGCCTTTTTTGAAGAGGGATCTTCCATAGGCTCCTCTGTGATGTAATTATTTTCTAGAAGCAACTTTTCTAGAGCAGTTTTTAATAGGTTTTTATTATTAAAATCTTGTTGCTCTTCTTCCTCCTGCACACTAGTGCTTGTTGATGCCATAGTGAATATCCATATCTCACAAACCAAATACAGTATAAGCAAAAATATCTTCTACAAAACTGTCTTTAATGGTTTTATTTATACTGTTTATCATTGTGGTCACTGGCAAATGAAAAGAGATAATCCTAGCTGTCAACTTTGGTTTGCTTCCCTTTCTACATCAAAAGTACCAGATCAAATTCTATACTCAATGAACTTCAGCAGCACCCTGATCCCTCCAGTAAAATTGAACTGTCCAGGCAGAAAGCATAATCTTCTTTGTCTAGTTTTCTTTTCTGATTAGATTAGGCCTATCTTTCTACTAATATATATACAGTATATATAACTTTTTTGCTAGAAAGAGTATGGACGGTGTTACAGATGGGTGTTGGGTTGCCTATTATTTGAGCTGTTCACAAGCCAAATCGATTAACTCCATTTGTAAATCTTTAATATAATCATTATTATTTTCAAATTTTTCGTATAATTAATTTTATATATCATTATATTAAATCTATGCTTTAATATAATGCCATAAATATATTAAAGCTATGATTTAATATAATTAAGGTGACCAATCATCCTCCTTTAGGGAGGACAGTCCTTTTTTTTAAGTTCTGTCCTCCCTCAAAAAGTGTCCTCCTACATGTCCTCCTTTTCGATATTTGAAGACTAATCTGTAAATCTCCATATTCGATCAATGCCAAGCTGATCCGTTGTATGTGATGTGTTTGTGTTTAACATGATGATTGATCAAGGCTTGGTACAGTGCAGTAAGATGTGATTATGAGACACATGTGCTCTGCACAAAAGACTTTGAGAGCGCACGCCGTGTGGAAGTGGCTTTGTTTACTTTCTTACTGAAATATTACACGGCACATACACATGCAGTAGATGATATTATAGTGTATTATTGTTGCAATGAATAAAATGTTTCTTTTATTACGATATTTTTTCCTTCAATTTATTTGTGTCCTTTTCATTGTAAAATAGTTGATCACCTTAATATAATGATATTTAAAGATACATTCTGCAATGTTCATTTAAATTTAAAGTTTAAAAGGAATTTTAAAAAATAATTTATATTATCAATTTTATACTTTTTGTTCTGTAGAGTTAATCAATTTGACAAGTGAGCAGCTCATATTATCTTCCAAACCTTACATATGAAATGTAATATAACTGCATTGATATATGTAATATAAGAACTTATATTATACTAGCAGGTGGGCCCGGCGTTGCTCGGGCAAAAATAACGATAACGATAACTAAAATAAAGATTATTATGTTACAGTCAACCTTACCCGTTTTCACAGAATGCAAGAATTGGGTCCCCGTTTCCAGACTAGAGAATTTTTAGATGAGTATAAAAATATGTTCGATTTCCTGCAAAAACGAAAAAAACTGCATCTGCGTATTGCACGTCGCTTTCTCTTAACAATTCCATTGTTACGTAACAATTCCATTGTTGACACTTCCATTGTTACTTAAAACTTTTATTGTTACTTAGCACTTCCATTGTTACTTAAAACTTTTATTGTTACTTAGCACTTCCATTGTTACTTAGCATTTCCATTGTTACTTAGCACTTCCATTGTTACTTAACACTTCCATTGTTGATTGAAGTGTTAAGCCTTAATCCTGTCCCTCTCCCCCGTGGGGAGGAATTTCGAAAAATCCCTTCTTAGTGTGCGTTCTCCTAACGTACCCTAACTGTGTACCAAATTTCAACTTTCAACTCCTAACCGTTTGGGCTCGTATCCATAATGTATATAGAAGTTTTAATCCTGTCTCTCTTCCCCCCGGGGGGAAATTTTGAAAAATCCCTTCTTAGTGTGCGTTCTCCTAACGTACCCTAACTGTGTACCAAATTTCAACTTTCAACTCCTAACCGTTTGGGCTGTGCGCTTATTATTATTATCATTATTATTATCAACCCGTCTCGATTATATATATAGATTAAACAATACAAAATATAATAATAATGTTATATATTTTCTAACAAATAAATATGGAGTGATCAAAATTAAAAATAAATTTTCATGACTTTAAAAACTGTACATAACAAATTGAATTAACAATAAGATTAAATTATAGATGTGAGAAAAAATATTGCATACAGGATTTGAACCCAGGTAGAAATGCTCTTTATGCAATGTCTAAACTGATCAAATCACACTATGAACATGTGAATGGCAATTCTACATAGTTCAAGAAAAATTTTAATTGTGATTTTCTAGAGAATATCTGAATAGTGGGTCCTGTGGCTTTGGTAGAGTTTAATTATGAGTAAATACTACACATCCACAAATTTTGTCAAAATTGGTGATGACAATCTCCTGGGTTATCGTTGTTACAGGCATTGATTGCAGTTTGTGTCATTTTCATGATAATTCTCCCATCCCTTATACTCTGCTGTTACACTTAGTAGACATCGCAGTATTGTGTCATTGGTGATTAGTAGCAAAAATTCTTATTTTATTGCAACCATGCATGACTCAATAGCGAGTGACTGACATGAGAAGAGAAGCAACACCATTGCAATACACAGTAACCAATGTCTTCTTATGGCCAGTTATAAGTCGTTATAACTGGCCATAAGAAGACTGTGCACATCATCCATGTCTAAGAAGCTTTATCTTTAACCTTCTGCCTGTCCACAAAATATTATTCCCATTTTTGCCGGTGGTTATATGCCAATTTTAAAAAGTACAATTACAAACTCACATGTAAGGAGAAATGTCTGTTCTCATAGGTATGAGGTAAGAGAGGGGTGGGTGGGTTATGTAAAGATTTTATTTTTACTCTAGCAATTTAGGATATAGGTTATACACATGAAAATACATTATATATCATAATAATTACAAAACTAAATCATCAATTTTAGAATTTATTCTAATAAAACTATTGCCATGCATTTCTTGTTATCCTGTAAACTTCAATATCCAATTTTTTTCCATTTTTTGTAATTACATCTTTTATCTTCATTCAGTAAATAATTTTTAGGTAATTTTTTGATAGCAAACTAACATGCAAGTATCAAATTGAAAAATAACAAAAGGCTTAGCTATTAGCTGGAGCATATGGCATCTTTACAGATCTATTCCTTAAAAAATTGTTTCATGTTCACTATGTTTCATTAATTTTCACTTTTCTTGATTCTCGTTAGCCAATTTGGTCAACCACCACCTTGTCTCAATCAAACCATATAAAATTTCAGAATAAAGTACAGCATATCTTTTATTTAATAAATTATTCATTCATTACATTGAGTCAACTGAAGTTGGTGGTATTAAACTGGAACTTCCTGATTTATTTGAATGTCTTAAATTTTTTAATAAATGTTTAAATAGCATTTTAATATCAAACAGATAGTAATGTAGGTGTAAACTATTCTGAACTATTAATGATAGTTCGTATTTACTTATTATTAAGTCTTCATTATTTTGTATTCCATATAATAATTTCTTTTTTACTTAAAAAAACCCAAATAAAGTAAGTATAACTTTTAATAGTATAAATGTTTGTACACAAACAATTTTATACTATTAAGCTTTTACAAATTCATTCCTTTCTCTGGTATTTTTTATATATTAAGTTTCAGTAACTTTTTTAGAGGGGATTAATTTCCTAGTAACATTACCTTTTACCATTATCTAATAAATAAATAATAAATAAAATAAAAAGCAATCATCTTTAATTAAACTTTTTGTTTTCAGTATATCAAAATTTAAAATTTTATGAAATTTATAACTAATGAAACAATTTTTGTATTCATTAAAATAATCTAAAATGTGTAAAATGTGAAAAATTTTTGTTATAGTTTTTGAAAAAATTAACTTACCTCCACATAATGCCGTTCTGTCAAAAGCATAATTTCCTAACCGCAAACTTACTCCACAATATTCGCATTTTAAACAACTACGATGAAAAAATAAACCTTCAGCACTAAGACGTTCCATGATATAAACTCGTTTCTGACAAAAGTAACATATTTCACTTCCACCAACAGTTCCAATATTTGTCTTCTGCAGGGAAGGTGTAGAATCAGTAGTAGTTTTATCTTGTGTATGGAGTTTCTTAGGACTGTCATTGTTCTGATTGCTTATCAGTTCAGTTAATGCTGTTACTCTCTTATCACCAGTATCTAAATAACCTGTTTTGAGTTTATGGTTGATATTTTGTAAACTTGCATCAATTTTCTTAAATTTTAAAGCAGTTTCTTGATTTGGAATTTCACCGCTAAGTTTTTTATCTATTTCTTTAAGCTGGAAATAAAATTATTATTATTATTGTGTACACAACTATAAAAAAATTAAATTAAATAATTAAATAAAAATAAATTATATTTTGTGCATTGAAGACAATATATAAAAGCCTGAATATTAATAATTCTATGAAAAACTCATTTGAAACAGTTAGAAGTAAACTGAAGAAAACTTAGGAACTCATAGTGATTACTACCCCTATAAAATTAATGTTATTTTTACTAACAGAAAATAAAATCTTTAAGACTTTTTTTTATTAATAAAAAACATTTCACATATTTCACTTGTTCAAAAAATAAAAGGTTAAAGTGTCCCATGCAAGCTCTCAGCAACCCTAGACAGTTAAACATATTTACAACTTTCCATGTTTATGTGATGAAAACTAATGTCTTTTTTTTATAAGCATAAGAAAAAAAATGTTTTTAATCAATTTTCACTTTCCTTAAAAAATAAATAATACTATAATTGTAAAATTTTATGGATTACAGTATTTTATGCAACATGCCTGATAAGTTAAACCTTTTCCACTTCATGGTAAAGTTTCATGGTAAAGTTTTACATATGATATTGCAGTTTCTCCTATAGCAAATGCTGGAAATTTCACCAGAGACCCCAAAATCTAGGAGAATAAGGTCTGGAGACCTAGCAGGTTAAATTCCTCAGAAGAATATATGATCAGCAAGCAGTTTTCCAAAAACTGTAGTCCAAAAATCAGAACAACTGTGAGCAACCAGTCATGCCATCTACTGCAAAGTAGAAATGCAGAACATACAACTCACAGATTTTGTATGCAATGTTGTACATAACTTTAATGTCATTACAAATTTCTCACTGTACAATAACTTTTTTGACACCCTGTATACTTAAAATATGATTTCAAGAGAAAGCAATTTAATCAGTTTGTATTTATGTTGCACAAGTTAGTGAGTGACTTTTGTCATTATTGCTATTTGCTTTTATGTTTTTATAAGTTTATATAAAAATACTATTACTGTATTTTCGCAGAATGACTGTCATGCCATATATAAATGGGGGAGACCAGTATGCCAGTTAAATTGGGACTAAAATATAAAATTAATCAGATCTAACAAAATCATTTGTTAAATGTTAAAAAAAAAATAATAAAAAAAATTCTTTCAAGTACAGTAATATATTATTACTGTAATTTGACTGACTTAAAATCAAGAAGAGAATTTTTGTTTACAAGACAATAAAACAATTAGTGACTTATTGACAGTAGCAGCAGCAGTAATAGTCAGTCAGTGTGGGCTATACTGACCATCCACCCTGACCTTAAAAATAACACCTTCCTCTCAAATTTCACACAAAGCCAATATTAATGGTGTAAGCTGAGATAATTTACAGCAAGTTTCTTATATTTAATATGTTTATTTTTGCATTTTTGAATTAATTAACAATAAAATAACATTAAAAAAGCACTTTTGGAATTCCACGAGTCTTTTATGTCATTAGAAAGAAGACAAAATGAAGAAATTAAACATATAATGTAGAATAAAAACTCGATATGCTGGCATGCCAGTTTTTGCCATATGGAAATATCTGATTTTATCGTCTCCCTGGATAGACCAACATGCTAGATAATCTGGGAAGAAACTGTAACCTACAGTTTAGTTGGATCCCAGCTCACAAGGGCCACAAAGGTAATGAATTGGCTGACAATTTGGCCAAGTCAGCCTGCACATTAGCTTCAAAACTTACCTACAAGTTACCTGCAATCTCCCTAAAACATCACTTACAACACATAGCCAATAATATGTGGCAGAAGGAGTGGGACTGTGCTGGTACAGGAAAGATATGTCACAACTTCATACCTTCCCTTGCACATCTTAAAAAAGCCAAATACTTCAGCCCAGATGCAAAGGTGACCCAGTGCCTTACAGGATATGGGAACTTTGAATCATACCTGCACCATTTTGGTAAGCAGATAGATAACATCTGCGATTGTGATGGACAGAGTGAAGACAATGTGCTACATTTTCTCTTCAGCTGCAACAAATACAGCCAACAATGTTCAGAACTCTTCAAAAAATGTCTCCAAACAGGACTCAACTGGCCCCCAATCCTGCAGACATTCTTGATAACAAAAAACTATGGACAAAAATGAAGAATTTCATACACAACACAAAAAGAAAAAGAAAAAAACTCAGGCCCATGAATTTCATTAGCCAGTGAGATGGGTAACATGGCCACATCCCACATCTGGACCAATGATAGACTGGCTGATATCATTTAAGGTAGGCCGGCTACTCACAAAATTTGTTCAACCCGCAATTTGACTGTACTGTGCATATGCAAATTAGACCCACTGGGTTTATATCTACTAGAATCTGCAATGTTTTTAATGCTAAATTTTGTAATGTATTGTCTCTGTCAACACAATCTACAACACTATCCATGTAAATATGCAACTTAGCCATATCAATAATTAATATTCATGTTTTGTTCTATATCTAACTTTATATAATAATACTCCACTCCTTTATCAAGTATTGATATTTGTATAAATTATATATATATAAAGCGATCATAAATTGCATACTTTGTAATTGTTAAAACATTGTGTCTGATACCCTTTGCTGTACATGCTCACCCACATGCGCAAACTTGTCATGTTTGTTTTTATACTGTTTCACTGTACATATTTTATCTTGTTTTATATCTTTTGTTATATATATCTTTTGTTTTGTAACTGTATTTTTACTTGTTCAACAATTATGATGCAAACACTCAATGATCTGACATGTCCCTTCAATCTTTCCCTATTTTATTTCCCTCCCTACTTATCACTTCCTCTTCTAATTTCAATTTCATCACTTCTAATTTCTTAGAAGTAAAGTCTGTACACATACAGACAACCTCTCTACTCTTTTCATGTAATGTAATGTGAAAATACAGCATAATTAAGATTGTTTTAATTTAGATATTTATTTGCTAATACATTATTATTAAGATCACATATATGGAGATATTAGCAACTTCTCAATTTAATAGATTGTGTGTAAAAATCAACATTCACAACTATTACTTATACCATAATGTCTTGATTCTAAGCACATTTTTGTTTACCTACTCTTATTGTCTGAAATAACATATATTTCAGCCACTGTCATTAATATTAACAAACTTTCCATTCCTGAAAAGCTGATTGCAGATTTGCATTCCAGCAGTAAAATTCCAGATTTGATGTTTACTCTTAGCAATATCAAAATACTGTTGCCTATTCTTTAGTCTGTTTTACTATTATAAGCTCAAAAGTTGTTCATCTTGTTGAGTAAATTTGAGAATAGACCCTAATTCAAGTCTGAAAATTTAAAGATTTTTGCCAAATTTAGGAGAGTTGGTAACCCTAAATATTAGTTTGCATAGTGTACCACACAAACATTTTTGAAAATACTACTGAATGATTACATCACTTCATTTCAGTTTTTCTAATGACAAGCTTTTAATTTCAAATCCATTTTAATGTTTAAAACGTCTTCTTATAATACATCATAATTTTGAAAAGTTATTGTATATGCACAAGTTTGCAAAATTTAAATTTTCACTTTACTTAGTAGAAGATTTACCAAAAACTCACTACATTCAAATTTATCTAAATCATATTTTATCTAAATAGGTTCTATAGATTTGTGTTTACCTATTTGTAAATCACTATATTAGTCTTGATATAATTAAAAAGATGGTACAAATGAAGCATATCATCAGGTAGTGAGTGGCCCCATATGGTGGGCCCCAAGCACAACCTAGCTTTCATGCACTCTTGTTCTAAATACTAAGTAATGCTATCAAATCAATTTATAACTTAATAGAAAGAATCTAGCAATGAGTTGTGCAACTTTCCTGGCAAAAAAAAAGTTAAAATTGTTTATGGCATCATCTGTTATAAAAAGTTTAATAATATGAGATTTTATTAAAAATTATTATAAAATAGCAAAAAGCTAAATTTTGAGGGTAGAGAGGAGTTTTATTAGTATTTACAATTTTTTTTTTATTACTAGTAAATTCTTCATTAAATATGGTCCCACTCAAGATATGATGAGATCCCATCTCCTTACCCTCTGGACCTTTAACCACCAAAATTTAATAGCAAAAATGCCCATAATATACAAACTTCCCTGCAATATTTCAGAAATTTTTGACAAGAGACAATCGGGCTTCAAATTGGGTAAACAAAACTGTGCCATCCACCCAGTTTCATGCTTTAAGTCTACTGAGTACCAACATGCTACATAGCTCATACAGTATTTTAATACCATGTATACTGGGCAGTTATGACGATATTAAAATTAGTATTATATAGTTTATTCTTATATTTTTACTGCTCTACTTTAATTTGAATGTTCTTTGTCACAAATATCAGCTTAATTAGAATTACATAATGGTTTGAGGCAGAAAACATTGCCAAAGCCCCAGTGGCTGCTTATTAGGACTTGAGCTGCATACAGCCTGTGGACTTTGGGTTGTTCATCATTGATCTATAAGATATTGTTCAGTACATGAAGTTTATTTGATACCAAGTCTAAGAATCACATTAAGTATTAAGAAAACTATTAAGTCAAAATTTCTGAAATAAATATTTTATAAATATTTGAAATAAATGTTTTGAGATAAATTTAAGGGACTTTTTGAGGGACAACAAATTTTCCTACTCAAAAGATTTTGCTTCCCTCCCACATGACTGTCTTATCCACTCATTACATCAGATTTGTAAATTCTTTCTTTGATAGCAAGGTAGTGTTCTTTATTCTTCATATCTATATCTATATCTATATATATATATAAACGGATGTGTGTGTCCCTATATTTCACTTTTCAGCCAAAACTACACATCGCACATGAATGGTGTTTGTATGTGGTAGTAGCCCCGAGTCTCCATTCATGCACTATGGTGGTTGCGTTTTGATAGCTATAAGGGTGTGGGAGATATGGGGGCTTAAAGTGGCTGACTTCGAAGATTTTCTATTTCGATTTTAAAAATG